AGGCCAGCCTCTGGGTATTTAGTTCACTTGCTTTCCAGCACAAATCTTTCCAGTAACCACAAACCAAGCTTTAAGCAGTATTCACAGACTTCCCTGGGAGTAATGCACAAGCATACTAAGGAGGACTTGGGCAAACCTAATGATAGTGATCGAAACTGTGCTATCTTTGGCTTGGTAGGCTTTCTTGTCTGCAAGTTCTTGAGCCTGTGTTTCTGTTCTTGGGGATAAGAACAAAAAAATGTGGCACTAGTTCATTTTAGGTGTAAGGCTTCAAGAAAGTATAAAAATAAGGGTTTTTTTTTTAAAAAAGACAACTTTCTCAGCAGAATTATTTTCATCACTTCTCACCCACACCCAAAACTAATCTTTCCATTCAACCCACTTTTTTTTTTTTTTTTTTTCCTGACTGGATGAAATAATACAGCTAGGCTATTCTTTCCTCCCACCAACTCATTCAATATTCTTAGAAGTTATTTTAGACATCAAGTTTCATTTATTATCTGAAGTAATAAGCATAAATCCAGTTTTAAGGAAAATGCAGTTTTGTATAAGTCTATGGCATAGATCTTCCATTCTGTGTGCTCCATCTGCATGTGCAATCTGCTTCTATATTTTCAGCCAGCTTGCATGGGCAGATTAATGCGTACAATTAGAAAGCAACCTCACAGGCGTTCAATAAACTGCCTTCATTATTACACTCAAGAGAGTCCCTTTGGATGTCTATAAAAGCCTAGTTTTCTGCCTGTTAGCTAAATAATTGACAACGCTTAAAATAATCAGGAACAAATGAACAAAATGAAGACCACTGTGGTGAAAAGAAGCAAACAAAAGATTCTCAAGGCTGCAAACCGTTTTTGTGTGAGCCCTCTCTCATTCTCTCTAGCAATCTATATTAAAAGTCTGGTCAGGTTTACATTTGTACTTCTGCAGGGAAAATTTGTTACCAGCCTGCTGTTTGAATCACACATCATAGGGGACTAAAAACTTGCAAGGACACTAGTATTTATCCTGTAAAAATAGATAAATAAATAAAAATTCTGGGTTTATTCAGGTTTTATTTTCTTGCATTTTATGCCTTTTGAGAAAACTGCTTTGGCAGGCAAGTGTATATCAGCTTGGTTTGGTGAACCTCCTGCCTTGTGTTTGGAATATGCACTCAGAGGCACTCTGGCAAATTCTGTTTCCAGCTTCAAATTTTGAGCAGAATATACTGAGTGCACACATGTACCCAAGTGCAGCAGTGCCAGGAATTTTTACAGGAGTACAATCTTCACAAAAACAGAAGCACGAATATGTAACAAAGGGAAGGATGAAGTGATATAGCAGCCATCATGTACTATTAAAAAGTAACCCTATGTTCTAGACTGCTTTTTCCCATTACATAAACAGGCAGATGGCTATTAGAAAGGCCGTGGATCACATCCAACTCTACAGTTTCTGGAAAGTCGAATCCAAATTAAACAAAAGCACCTTACTAGAGAGCTGGGCTAAAATCATACGGTGAGACACACTACAGTTCAGGCACAGATTCATACAGTTTGCACAGCAAGTCATAGAAAAAGGCAAGTCTTGAGATAGCCATCCTTCATTACTGTTTAAATGACAATTCTTATGTCCTAACTAAGGAGCAATGTCCTGCAAAGTCCTGTGCCAGCTGTCTAACCTCTTCTTCATTCCCATTTGGAAAGATGGACACTCAGTCTTTTCCTCACAAGGATTAGCAATTGAGGACTCCGTATCATGTATAAGTAGCTTCTGCTAGAAAAGTGCACGTGTATTGCTTATTTTCTCAATCTGGCATTTCCAGAGGCAGAACCACAGTGACACTATCACCAATAAATCTCTCAAGTGCTTCTCTGTTACTACAACAGTAGCGATCCGGCTATGCAGGAACTCCCCCAGCGCAAAGTCTGCTCCTGTATGCTCTTCAGGCTTTTTATACACAGCTACTTTAGGATATACCTTGTGAGTTTTGTACATTTTAGTCACTTAATAGAGCTTGAGTCCATCTGGGTCAGAGGAGCTGCTGATCCCAAAAGAGAGAGGCTTGAAGGTTTTTCCACAGCACTCTGTGTGTGTGTCTAGACCTCATTCTCACAAGACATAAACACACACTGAAGCAACTGCGATAACAGATACAGTTGGCTTTCAAGGGCCAGTTGTACACAGAGAAGTTAACAAGGCTTTCAAGTGATAGGAAGTAACTGTATTCTGCAGACTGTGGATGAGGCTGCAGAAAATTTTTCCTTTTGACATCCACTTACTTCACATTACACCATTTGAAACGGGATTTCAGTTTGTGTTTTTAATAGTGACAGGAATTTAATCAGAACAATGACCTTATAGGCAGCATCATACTTTATTGTATATGTTTATATGTTAGTGACATGAGACTCTTAAGTGCTTTTCCTTATCAAATAGAAGTGGCACTTCATACAGGAGAGGTAGTGATTGGGCTCTGCCCCATGGAGGCTGATACAGCTAGAAGCAGTGATCAATTTTAAAAGGTTTCCCAGCTAATGAGACTGCTGGTAGGCATTGATCTCCTCAGGAAAAATGTGATGTTGCAGCTACAGATGCTTACAGAAGACAGACTAACAAGGCAGCTTATCTTTTGAAATTACTTCACAGGCCATGACTTTGAGAGGTCATTGTTTTATATGCTGTGCATGACCTTCCTTCCCCTCTCTCCCAGCAAGCAGGGAAGGAGATCAAAATACTCTAGCAGAGACAGTGAGAAAAGGGGCACAACCTCATATTTGTCCTCTTCGCCTCTAGAGAGGTTCTTAGATGATGGAAGTACTGAGTCACTCATTTTTGCATAGTAAGCAAAAGCACATCTTTAAATACTAAGCACTTTTGTTTGAACATGTCTCTAATAACCAGCAGTACTTCAGTGGAGTTACTTTACAAGTATCGTATCTTTCCATTATTCCTGGATGTTGTGCTCCATAATGGCAATGTATCTTAGCACTACATTAGCAATACCCAACCTCAACAACATCCACTGGTAAAGATTCCTCTTCTGCCTACCAGAAGATTCCTTCAGAGCAAGGAAGGCACTAGTGTCGCTGTAGAGCATGGGAGGTTTTTGCTTAACCAAAACTGCATTCACTGTAGGTAGGTTTTCATCTCACTTCCTCCAGGTGCAGTATCTACAGAGCCCTCTTGATGTATGTTCAATACATAGTACATACAAATAATCTTCTGATTGTTGAACATAATCTCCAGCAACAGAGCTTCACCATCCATCTTTACCTTGAGTTGCATCAGTTAGTTTTGTTTTTTTAAGATGACAGCAGCTGAATACTCAAAAGGTTTTTCTAAATCAGTGGAAAGGACATCTGCCAGGCAGTGTCCTTCTTAATGCCCAGGAAGTCTGAGCTCCTGCACCACCTGAGGACCAACTGACTGCCCACATGAAGGTGTTTCAGATGGTTTGGGTCTGCTTTTGACAGACAAGTGCTGATCAGAAGAATTCATTTCACCCTCAGCCAAAAAAGGAACAGACTGGGAAGGTGAGGGAAAGGAAGAGATATGTCTCTGTTCAAAACTGAATAAGCCTGAAGAAAAAAAAAAAAAAAAAAAAAAAAAAAAAAAAAAAAAAAGAACCCTGACAATCCCCTCAGGAAAATGCAAGTCCTGTAACTGAGGACCCTGCACTGAAAAGATCTGATAAGGCTGTTGTTGAGTTAGGCTCAAAGAGCCAGAAGGTGTCTAGTCTGTCAGAAACAGGCAGAGATCTAAAGCTGTGCAGTGTCTTCAGAAATCCTGAGGAATCAAGGTGTGTGTGGGGGAAATCCACACTGGGACAAACAGAGGACAAACAGTAGGCAATATACCAATATCTAGAGAGAAATGCTGGCACTGTATTTAAGGAAAGATCTGTACCTAAAGCCAAATGGGAAGAAATAAAAGGAAAAAGACAAGAAAGGCTGAGATCAGTGAGAAAGCACTGAAATGTCTATACGTTAGAGAACAGAGTCTGGGCAAGTGATGAAGGAACTGGAGCTACTAGCATGTGACAAAAGTGACTCCTTTAAAGGTCAAAGAGGTGGAAAGAGCAATCAGTCATGCTAAGAACATAGGTGAGTAATTTCAGGAGTCAAAGATAAAAAAGGTAAAGGTGGCTAAAGAGCATTGTGTGTTAATTATGTGATAGAATTGGATTTGATCAGTTAAAAATAAATAAATAGAGTGAACTGGCAAGGCAGGAACTTCACTGCCAATGGAATTAATTATGTCAGGAGTTAAGCCATATCTACATCTGACATTAGGGAGGTCTTCACAGTAGATCTCTACATTTAAGCTGTAGGACTATGCTAAATATAGGAAATCCTCATTATTTCCACGTGGGTTAGATTTCTTTACTAGTTACTAAAATAAGTAGATGGAGATGTAATCTAGATCCTGTTTTGATAATTAGTCTTGGATTGAATTATCACACTGATTCTGTTAGAGAAATAAAGCACAAAGTCATTCTATAATTCATGGGTTTTATTTCAAAGTGTATGTTTTGAGAAACTAAGAGAAATCTACTGAACCAAATTTCTCACAGAATGAGGTATGGAGGAGGCTTGGAATATTTTGCAGAATCAGAGGGTGGTTGATGTTGGAAGGTACCTCTGGAGGTCATCTCATCCAACCCCCAGCTCAAGCAGGGCCACCTAGAGCCAGTTGCCCAGAACTTTTGAGTATCTCCAAGGATGGAGACCCCACAACCTCACTGGGCAACCTGTGCCCATGCTCAGCCACCCTCACTGTAAAAAAGTATTTCCAGATATTCAGGAGGCACCTCCTGTATTTTAGTTTGTGTCCGTTGTCTCTTTCCCTGAAGTCAAACATTTCAAGTTAAAAAGTGAAAAAACAGCAGCAGAGGCCAAACCCTTCCTAAGCCCCAAACCACACAAAAGAAAACAAATTAAAAAAAAAAAAAATCAACCCCAAAACAGGACAAGCAAATGAGGAATTTTAGGTTATAAGTTTAAAATTTTACTTACTAATAATGATCTTCAAGGAACATCTGTCTTCTTTGCATTTCTTGTTGTCTTTTTTTAACTTCAAGTCTCTCTGCCTACAGCATTAAAAATAGGAAAACATACTCGGGATTTCCAGTAAGCCAGAAAAAAAACATTGATTATATTAATTCAAGTATTTCAGAAGTGACCCAATCTCAAATTTAAAAGTATTCAGATATGACCAAACAGCTCCTAGTGAAGAGACCAGTCTGAAACACTTACTGTGCTCCTGGCAGACAACTCCATCCTCAGAGAGGGCCTTGTAAGCCTGCAGAGTTCTCATGTCACAGAACTATTGGGACCATCTCTTGGTATAACTGATAAAACACTGGTCCTAGTAAGAAGGTAGATGATGCGAACCACTGCACTAAAGCAGATCATAGTCTTGTAGCACTGAAAGCACAGTGATACAAGTACACATAGCTTTGCACACAAACCTATGGCCTTCAGGAGCATTAGGTGCTGGGCAGCTGAATACATGCTGAGATGGATGAAAGTGGGAGACGTTTGTACTTAACCAGTGTTATTCTGCCCTAGATACCATGTCCAGTGCAAGTGTCAACAAAATCTGACACACAAAACTCCTGTGGAAATCTGGATGACACACAACTGATTAAGTCCTTTAATTTAAAATTGCTACAGGGAATTGTAGGTGGGAATGGCCCATTTGCTCAGAGCTCCAAATCAGGGAGAGGACATTGTACCTGAGTGGAGGTATTGTGCAAGGCCAGGTAGAACTAGTGGTGTAGGGTGTGTGTGCAAGGGGAAAAGGGGTTTTAAGAACAGGGCTGTAACCCCTACCCCCATCATTTTCTTCCTGTCTTGCAGTCAATAACATTTCAGAAAAATTACAATTCTGCTGGCAGTTACTCAATTACTTTGCCTTCAGTTATTTCAGGGTGGGTATTTTTTAATTGGATAAAGAATGATTTTCTGGAAGAGATTTGCAAAACAAGCACAAATTCCTCCTCAGCCTGTATTGAATTAAGAAAAAAAAAACAACTGTCAGATGTCTGCCGATAGGAAAAGAGCCACTATGCTGTGTAATGATATAAACTGTTGGAAGGCAAATGACTTAGAAGTTGTTATTTGGAAAATGGAAATGGGAAAATAAACAAAAGGAGGAAGACAAATTTCTGAGTAAGAAGTTCCATTGCTCGGTCATTTGGCATGCTGAGACAGTAGTAGAATGTAAAATTACTGATGCAATAAAAAAAAAAAAAATCAAACTAAATTAAGGAATGTCACCCCACAGTATAGGTAAATTTTGATGGTGTTCAAAGGATATCTTGTTTGCTCCTAATCCCTCCACTCAGAGACAGATGATTCCCACTCTTCTGTGCAACTTAAAAATTGACAGGGAAAGAAAGAGGAAGAAAGGGAATCTGATGGCATCTATTATTGTCAAAGGTGATGTTGATATCTTCAAAACACCAGTAATAGCTCCCAGGCTTTTCCCTACCATTGCTCAACACTGCAAGTTTATGCCCTCACCTCTGAAATAACATTTGACATGGGATCCACCATCATATTGCAAGGCTTCTGAAAGCTCAAATCTGAAGCTCATCGGAGTTGCTGTGGTCTAGCTCCTAGCTAGAGCAACACAGTGATGTTAAGTTTGATAAATACAGTCCTTCAGTATCACCCCTGTCTCCCACTACATAAAAAAATTTTGAAATATCCTACAGCTATTCTACCACCAGAATGGTGCCTGAAGAAAACTCCAGCATATTGAAAATATTTACTTGTGGCTGGTGTGACTATTTTCTACTCTGGAGGTTTACTCTAGGATCTCTGCTTAGGACACGTACAAATGACAGACAAAGGGACTAGGACATTCTCTAACTAATGACAATCTATCAATAGACATTGCCAAAGCACTCCACATTTGGCATGGTCTTCAAAAACAAAGCCAAGAGTGGAACAGCTGTGATATTGAAGGTAAACATGTTGAAAAGCATTAGCAGAAGGTCTGTGAAGTGCCTGGTTTTAACAAATTCCTGAAAAAGGCCATTCATGTTGATTAACACAGTCAAATTAAAGAGCACACAATTTGATAAAGAATAAAATGAAATTACAGCTTATTCTAAATAGGACAGTTTCTAAAGATGGCAAGACTGTTACTATGTAATCTAAGAGCAAAAGAAAGTTACATGCAGTAGAATTACATTGAGCCTTTTCACTTCAAATCTTTTGAATCTGTTAATATTTAGTCAACATTTAGAATATAGAAGGAAAGGCTAAAGGCAGGGTAACCAGGAGCAGAGATTTAATGACAGGAAACAGTAGTATCCAGTGCACTGAAGTTATGCTATTTTGTGTCCAGCTCAAATGCAGAAAGCTTAAAACTCAAGAAAACGAATATCAGCCACTTGTTTATTTTCTTGGGAACTCTGACAGTCCTTTCACCCAAAAGACACAAAAAAAGTTATGGTTCAGTCTGGTCAAAATCTGTGATGTGAAGGGCTGCACAAAAGATACCCAACTGCAGATGCCTGCTACTAATAAGCAAATACTAATAATGCTACTTCCCCTGTACTCACACACTTTCTGCAGATCAGGGACAGATCTCAGCACTAGGGACAAATACAGCAATAGGGACTCCCCTGCTAATGTTGCAAAGTCTCTTCAAAATTAATTCACTTAGCACTCAAGAGATCACTAGCAAAGAATAATATCCAAACTCATGGAAGTCCAAGGTTATTCCATGAACAAATTAAAGCAGTCTCAGGACAAGCTGCGTGACATGGAGCACATGGGATCCCAAAACCCATTCACTGCTACACATGGAGACTTGAGTACCAGTTCACACAAACTGGTCCTGTGGAACACAGAATAAGAGGAAAGGATCCACCCTTCTTCTCTCTGGGAGCTGGAGAAAGAGAAGGTAGATGCTAAGAGCATTGGTATTCCAGCACCTAAACCTCATGGTTAATTAAAGAATGACAGAGACAGGCAAGCGGACTCCTACAGATGGTAAGGCAGACCTTCCACATTTGGATACTGCTTTGGCAAACACCCAGTTTTCTCTTGGTCACAAAGAAAACAGGAGAGTGGATGCTGCTTTTCTCTGCAAAATCGGCATTAAAGAAATAACATAAACAGATCCTATGTTCATAAGCAGCACTGGCTTACAGTACATCATCCTTACAATCAAGGAAGAACTAAGTCGAGCACCAGCACTCATTCTAGTCATCACGTATTAGTCCATAGCGCTTCACCATTCACATTTGTTGGCAAAGTAACTCTCCAGCTGGGAAAGTTTCAGGGCCCCTGCTGATAAAGCTGGCTAGACACTATCTCCTTCAGACTGCCAATTTGATTTTTATTGAATGAATAATAACCTTGAGTAAAAGAAGGACTGGCCAGCAAGAAAAGAAGGCTTGTGAATTTGCAGAAAGATATGCTCTCAGCTGATGCTCTGCAGATGCAGTTGTCTACAGATCTATAACTTTAAATAAAAAGTTCCTCTCCTGCAGTAACCAAGGCCCAATGTTGGTCATACAGCACCAGTTCTTTAGGATCCCTTTCCTGCCATCCTCAGCTCTTGGGAGCCTTTCACTTGCAGGCAGGGTGAGATAGCCAAATTGGCACCTTTTAGTGGCTTTCCAGCATGCTTTCCTGAAACACGGTTGAATTTTTAATGTATAAGTATCTTACAAACAGAAATCTTCATCAGCTCAATCACTATTATGGAAGACAACCCAAATAAACATTTCAAATTAAGAGTTTCCTTTTATGATCCTCCTGTTTTGTTTGTTTGCTTTGTGAGTATAAACTTATTTATTCAAATTAAACAGTCTGTTTGGCAAAGATGTTTGCCATGATGTTGCATTCTCCTTTAGAAGAAACTGATAGTTACAGTTTTACTGTCTACAACATCTATAAAGATTTTATAATCTGTGGGAGTGAAGGTAAGGAAATTAAAGAACATGAAAGCAAAACTGATACAGCAATATATTTTCTAGGTGTAACTATAAATTATATCAGTATTGTAACATTTTTCTTGTCCAATGCTCAAGGCCAAACAACATATATTTAATAGGTGAATAAAATATAATTAATCCCCTTCTATTGCTATTATCACTGCTTCTGGAGTTATACATGAGCTGGTAACTGTTAATGACATTTTCACATGATAATATTTATTGCCCCTGGGAGCTATTCTGTATGGGTTTATCCCCAAAGAGTAATGCTAACCACGGAAAGACTGAGAACAGACTAACCCTTACCTAGAGGCAATTATAGCTATTTTTGTTTGTGCAAGCCCTTGTACATCATCCAGTAGTGATGATTTTTTAATTAACTCTCAGCATTCAGCTTCTGCGCAGAAGATCATTTTTACTGTTGTGGAGAGAGAAATCTCCCTTTCTCTCATTATTACTGTGTACATCAGTATCATGCTCCCCCTCTTTTCTATTTTCATTTAAATTCCACGTTACATTCTCAAGTACATTCTACTCGGTTTCCACCAAGGTGACATGAATGAACTTTTACAAAGTTTTATGCAGCACACAGGACAAGAAGACGCTTTGTGAGAATAAATAGAAAAAAAACAAAAAAAACACAGAATAAAACTGAAAATTTGAAAGTAAGCTATCATTGCTGTCAGTATATGGTTAATATTAGAAAGAAACATGATCTTACATATTAACAATACACCTGGGTGTGCAAGCCCCAGAGGGACTGGTGGGGCATCTAAATTTCAGGGTGTGCTCAGCAACATGCAGATAGACTACACTGACCTTATCATCATTTGGATGCATTTTCCATGATGACAGACTGGATTTTCTTGTGTTTTCCATGTGTGCAGCATGCAGTTACGGATTTCTAAAAGGTCTTTGTGCCATCTGCATCAATCCAGTCTTACAGATTGTCCTGGTTCAACTAGGATAGGGTTAAGTTTCCCAAGCAGAGAGAGAGGGGGAAGGGATCTCCAGCTGGGTTATTCATACCATGCTGATGTCAGGTCCAGGGGCAGAAACTTTTTTTTTTCTCTTGGTGGCTTTTTGGTGGCGGGAAACACACGTCGGGTTTGCTCCGTGACCATTTGCGGTATTTCTCTGTATATATTTTGTCTTGTTCACTGTTATTGCTGTTTATTGTTGTTATCACTGCCACTGTTGTGTTCAGATTGTTTATCACACTGTTATGTTAAATTTCTTCTTATTTTTTACCCGGGGTTTGTGCCTAACTTCCAGCCCGACCGGCAGAGGGTGGAGAAGTGGCAACAGCAACGTGCTCTCCGGTCCCGGCAGGGCTTAAACCACTACACAGATAAAGCTCATGTCAAAGTGAACTACATAACCTGTACACACAACTTTAGTCCTGACCCTAGTGTTGTCCCTTTCTGGTAACTCTTCAGCATGGATGCCACCAAGAGGCTGGAGTTTCTGAAGAGCCAAAGGAACACTCAAGCCCCAAAGAACACCAGGTTAGGCATCCTTCAGTCAGCCACAAAGAGAAGGAGGACTGGATTTCGTAAGTCCTTGATGCAATCCAGGGCTACCATTCCATTTAATTAGCCTGTTCCATTTAGTTCATCAAAATCAAGCACAAAGACATGAACTTTGTTATATGGCTCCAACTCTGCACTAACCATGTTTACCTTTTCTCTCTGAATTTCTTTCTTTTTCAGGATTTCAGCTTCTTCAGCTGCCTTTTTTGCTTTTATATATTCTTCTCTCTTGAGCTGTATGACATAAACATAGAAAATTATTTAACATATGTATGCATACAAAGAATACATAAGGTAACTTGACTTGACTCCTGTACTGCACATCTTTCAAACCTGAAGTGTGTCTGAGGAAAGTTTCCAGATTTTTTTCTTAAAATGAGGCACTGAATAAAGCAGGCTGTGCACCAGCTACTCCAATACTGGCTTTGTGAAAACTGAGAAATCTAGGATGGATAAATGGGCATCTATGCAAGGAATCACACAGCTGATTGATAACTTACAAGCATTTATACCTTTTATAACAGGAACAACATTTCTACATAAGCACTGGATGGGGTGGTACATTGATCAATTAGTCAAAGCGTAGGTAGCATGCTGAAAGATGCAGAGAGACACAGAAGTGTCTTTACAACTGTATTGGTTATCATTTTAGATATGATCTGCAATACAGGCTGCTACATATTTATAGCCAGATTTCTCATTTTCTTTGGTTTGGAACATTTGTTTCTAGTTTTCTGCAGCTTCCTTCAGGTTTCATGACTTTTGTCAAGCAGCTATGAGTTCATTTAATAGCCATATGAAACATTGCATGAAAACCTTTTTTTTGCGTTCTTAAAATAAACAAACAAATTTATTCTTCCTGACCTTTTGCTGGTATTTAGATTGCATGAACATCATTTGGTGTTTTTGCCTTGCTTGAGCCTCTGATTCCTCTCCACCTTAAAAAAAAAAAAAAAAAAAAAAAAAAAAAAAAAAAAAAAAAAGAAAAAAAAGTATAAATTGCATTTTGTGTAAGCATTTTAAGTTCAAATGCCAGTCATTTCAGAACAGAGCAATATAACAGATTGGATGTGTGCATATACAGGAAATTTTTCATAATTACAGTAGCTGTCTGACATTAAAGAGAACAGATAGAAGACCTTTTTGATCATTTTATCCATCCGTCAAAAGCACTAGCTTGTTATTTACAGAGCATCCACTGTATCATCCACTCTACCTGCAAATATGTCCTACAGTATATGAACAGTTTACCGAGGAACTATTCCAGTTTCAGAAAATCAGTCACGGTTTGCAGGTGAATCTTAATTTTCAGATTCAGCTCTCCCCGCCTTTGCTCAGTTTGTCACACACACATACATACAGAGACAGAAATTTTATTGCCAAAAAGTTTCTCTTTTATCAAATTTAGGAGCTTAGAGTCTGCCAGCTCTAATGGGATGCAATCATTTGAATATCTTCTAAGTAATGTCTTGGGGCTTGAGGAAGAATCCCCTTTCTGAAATGGAAATCAAACCCTTTTCCCACAGACCTCATATTCATATCCAGGTAGCAGAAGGTGCCCTTTCCAAAGGCACAGGCTCTCTTTTTAGAGCATATAAAGATCTGGCCATAATATTCAGCCTTCAATTAAAACAAAAACAAAAACAAAAACAAAAACACACACACACAAAAAAACCCCACAAACCCAAACACCTCATGAAAAACCAAAACAAAACGACCAACCAAAAAATCAACCACACAAAGTGATAATAGGTCTTAAGGGATGGAGGCAGTAGGTTTGATTATATTATTCTGCTCTACTATTTTCCAAAGTGTTTTCTTGCTTTGGAAAAGCCAATAATTCATTCCCTCAGTTATTGCAAAAAAAAAAAAAAAAAAGCAGCCCCCAACCCATTCTGAAGATGAGGGCTGTATTTTCACCTAGGTGTTTTTCTGAGAAGTTACCCACTAAGTGGCTGTTAATTCTACAGAAGCAGCTGGACCAATCTGTGCTACCTGAGGTTCCTGAAAGGTAAGACAACTATACTAGATCTTTCAGGAGGGATCACTCTTCACTAAGCAGCTTTCTCTGCTTACTAATGGAAGGTAACTAATCTTCCGGTGCTTTTGTGAGGTTCAGTGAATGGTAGATCAATGTGGCAACATTTCTATGCACACAAATAACTCCAGAAGGTTAAGCTCTCAAGAAAGACTGGCCATACAGTATACAAGCACCAAGGTTATACAGCTGGCTTTGTAGAGTGCCTCCTCTCTACGTCTAGGAAATAAAATTGCTTCATCTCCCTCCTTCCTTTCCTTTCCTTCCTTTCCTTCCTTTCCTTCCTTCCTTCCTTCCTTCCTTCCTTCCTTCCTTCCTTCCTTCCTTTAGCCTTTTAGCCAGGTTTAATTCATTCAAGTTGGCTTGGCTGTAATGTGTGAAATGATTCACTGAAGTCAGAGTGTATCATGACTGGCTTTATGTAATATGATCAAAAAGAGGCCATTGCATTTATCAGACATGATTTGTTGCTCCACTCATTGCTTATGGAGGACGGGGGAACTTTGCATCCTTCATTGTTCTCTTACCTCCATGGTACCTGAAAATTTGCCAGTCAAATATTATAGAGTTGAAATCTGGGAAAGCATGAGTTAAGAAACTTCAACTTTAAGAATTCTCTGGTGATTTGGACTCGATGTGTCTCTTAAAATCACTCTGAGAAAATAACATAGGATACTTTTTTACCTTAATGAGTACCTACAGTTGTAAAATTAGAGATGCCACTTATATTTTTTTTTCTCCTTCCCTGAGCTTTCTTCAGTTCCAAATTTGTTCCTGTGGGAATTATAAGATCTAATAATTTTTGCACCTTATCTCTTTTAGAGGCACTGAACATAGTGCATGTGTCTCAGTCTCCAGGGGTGGTTCTAAGTGGCAGCTAGAGAGTGACTGAAGAGCTCATATAACTTCCTTGAATTCTTTCAGATTTTTCTTGCTTTGTCTTTCTCTAAATTTGCTTCTTTCCCAAGAAAGTTTTTAAATGCAGTGGGATCACAAAAGGTGAAAACTCCCCACAGTCAGTCACCATGAGTTTGCCACCATGTCTCCAGTCACGCAGCCATCCTGCACACATTCTTCATAGACACCACACACCACATTTCTGTTTCCAGCTTTCACTTCCTTCATCAAAAAGCTTTGTGGTCCTCTTGGGACAGAAGCATGTCTCCTAGGAACTGCTCACAGGCAAGAAGCATCTAGTATGTATGAACTCACAAAGAACATGTCTGGCCACACGACTGCATACGATGGTGGGAATACAGGGTATCACACCAACTTGAAAAGGTAGGTTCACCACTGCAAACAACTGGGACTTAGGCCCCTGTGTATCACCTTGACCACAAAACCAAATCTGTGTTAGAAGTCAGTTCAAATTCCTTCATCTCCCATCTTGTATTTAATTTTATACACAGTACATCACCCAACTTATCTCGTGTAGCATGGCAAGGAAAGAACTTAGTTCCCAGGTCAAGGCAGACAATAGCTTACACTGTGCACCCCAAATTCTTTTATGACAGCCAAGGGAAGGAAGGGTAGCTCTAAATTACAAAACCAAAAAAGGCATCATTATACCATCATAATAATTCACTTTGTCAGAATTAACTTTGTCCCATTTCTATTAGTGCAGTTCCTCAAGGTCATCCCATTCTTGCTGCGCAGTATCCTCATCGTGTTCTGTACAGATGATGCTTTCAATTTTTGTCTTGTCAGTAAGTTTCATCAGCTTTCTCCTACCTTTTGTGCCAAGACATTTTGTGCCAAAGACATTAAGGAAAGATATTAGAACAAGATGGGTCTGAAGACTTGTACTTGAAAAGCACTTCTAATAACCTTCCCTTTGCTTCAGCACAACCTGCAGTCCTATTCTGGGGAGATTGGGGGTGGGCTGGTTTAGATTTTTTTTTCATTTGTTTGTTTGTTGTTTTTGTTTTGTTTTTGTTTTTGTTTTTTACCTAACTGCCATATAGCACTAAATTAAAAGTTTTATAGTGGTTATAACTGAAGAGATCTCCTATGGTTTCTATCACCTGTCTACAAAAAAAGTTGGTTATCTTTCGAAATGCATCAGTTCAGTTCGGGGTGACTTAAGTTCCTGTGGCTTTTTATCCTGTTTTTCATTTACCCATCTCTGTTGTTATTTTTATAAAAGTGGTAATACAGAGCCTCATGCACATTTAGCCTGCAAATGCCTGAAGCTGCAGGGATCACTTTTGCCTATTCAAGAGTCAGCAGTCAGGAAAGCACATGTACTGGCCCCTAACACAGAGGAGTTTTCTTATGGGTAACTGTAGGGTCTCCAACACATGCTGTCCATCTGCACGCTAACACCAAGTGTGAGCCTCCTCAGAGACGTCAACCACAGGCAATATCACCAGAAGGAGGGATAATCCACCTGTTTTTCCCGAATATTAGTATAGATTTTTCTACACTTGACAGATATCTTGAGTGACAATCCATGATGTTTTGTCTCAGAAACATCTTCATTGCCAAGACCATAAAAAGAACAGACAGTAGGCTCATGTTAGCCCTTATTGACACTGAATCTCTTTAATAAGTAGCATGTGAGAAAAAGTGAAAAATGTCTCATGTCCTGAAAAATAAAATTTTGCAATTCATAATAGCTGATTTACATGTCTTACCCAGTCTCTGCGGAACCAACTTAATTGGCCCTGGCCTGTGTTCTTTCTTCCACTGCTCCAGGTCATCTAGCTCTTTCTTAGCAACTGAGCAGGTACAAAAAGAAACAAATATATGGAAGTTAGAGGCAATACTAAAAAGCAGGCAGTATCACTAATTGTATGTAACCCTGAAGACCCATCCAGGAACAGACAAACGTGTTCTCAGGGGCTTCAGGCACCCCACAGGAGGTTATGTAATCACTGCAATGATCAGCTAACAAGGCAACATTATGCCTAACTCAAGATGGTATGGTGAGCAAAGCCTAGGACTCAACCCCAAAAGCAAAACAAAAAACATCTAAAGGACTGCTAACAGACTGCTTTTTAACCCCTGGGAATCTGTAGGTAAATGCCACAGTACTTACTCCTACAGGTAAAACAGAAGTTGTTATAATTAAGATGTTATTGCTGCATGGAGGGAAATGTTTGTGGTGTAACACTTCTGAGTGGGGAAATGAAGAATAAGTAATTTTCTCTCCCAACCACATGCTCCCTAAATAAAAACAGGAGGAATGCACAATTCAGCTTCAAATTAAGACACTTTGACGTAGGTGTTCACATGTGAGATGGGTGGCAAGTTCCCGGTGTAGTTGGTGGAAGTCAAAATGCAGCCAAGGGCATCAACCATATGCTCTAGGATGGCTGTCTGATTAAATTGCTCTCTCAAATTGACAGAGGAAAAACCCCAACAATTCCTTTCAACAGCAAGGCCCACAAAGGCTATGGAAAGAGGAGCCTTATTTTACAGTAGTATTTCAGTTCCTTCAGTTCATTTCACTTTTATTAAAACCAATGTCAGCTATATTTTCTAATGGCAGGCTATGGCTATCAGATGTTAACACCAGCTCTCCTCTAACAAGGTAAAGCCAGTTCCTGGGAAAGTCTCTAAAGATGCCCAAGAGAGACACCAGCTTTTATTTCACCTTTAAAAGAAGCACTTAGGTAGAGACTGGATTTGGTGAGGCCCTATTTCTGCCAGTATCCATGGCAGAAATACTTGGCAGGCTTCAGACCTTGGATGCTGGTGGCACAAAGTGAAAACAGATCTTTATTAGAGCAGCAGCACCTTTGTTATTAGCATCTTCCAGAAGATTACAGTTTGGTTCGGAACAATTCCATTTTCTCTCTTGCATCCAAAGGAAACCCAACCCCACATCAGTCTGCTGGTGAAGTATTTCAGCAGAATTCACAATGTTTGTGAAGAAAGGATTTAATTGCACTGTTTACTTGAGGGCTCAAAATGTGCAAATGCTGACTGACATTCCTTCAGCTTTCATATCTTGCACAAATAAACAGCAAAGAGTGTAGGACTGCAGTGCTTGGTCACTTCTGCATACAGAATTTCTTTCACAACCAGACTTTGCTATAACTTTGCCAACGAAAGCTTTTTAACACGTGTCTAATCTTTCTAGTAGAGGTTCAGGGTATTCCTGCTTAGCTACTTTCACGAGCAAGACTCAAAGTCAAGCAAAAGGGAACTTACATCCACAGACATTTTCCATCTAAAATGACCCTTCCCAGCTTCATTAAAAGAGCCACCCACAATCCTTAAATGGAAATGCAAGAACCAACAGTGGTTGCTTTAGTCTCCACATGAGACCATTTTCAAAAATATTTCTTGCTTATATTTTTCTTCTTCCTCTCCCTAACCCAGAGAGAATTCAAAGCCATGTTCTCCAATCTGAATTAAATCCTGTGTAAATGGGATTGAGCCAATTCCCGCTGAGTCTTGTAGAAGTCAGCCTGAACAGCTCCAGCACTGAAATTACCAAAAACCTTTTCCTGAACACGATTTATTCTGCATGAAGTTTAGTCAGGTGAGAAGTTAATCTTAAGAAAAGCCTACACAATGATGGAGAATGTTCATAGCACTGACTTCACTGTCACAGTTGCACATATAAACGCATTGTAAAAATGAGGATGAAAGTTGCAAGAGCGATAAAGCACACAGACCCCTAAACATTCAAGTAGAAATAATGTATTACCACATAAGACAACTCAACTTACTTTGCTTCACCTGTTTTCTTCTGGTTTCATTTGGAGTTATCAAGACATATGGGCCGACACTAAAATGAAAGAAAACACTCTTTTATTTTTATTGTAACTAGAAGGAGGTTCCTCCTTCAGCAATTTTCTTCTGTTGTAGCAAATAATTTCATATCAAAACTGGTATTCAGCTCTTCATGAATTTTTAGCAAATACTCTAGAAATACTTGTTATATTTGGAGTTGTCTGCAAATACCAAGGATAACATTTTCAGAAAATTTTAGCATAGCCTTCACTTTTTTAATTTGTCTCACTCTTGACTGCTGACCTAAAATTTCAACCATTTCAAATCAAATCACTTCCTTGAATCAAAATGTTCTAGGTGGTAGATGACTACTTTCACAGCTTGCTCAAGCACAGAGGAAGACCATTGTCTACTGGGAAGAGCACTGGTGCTGGCAGTCCCACTCTGTACCTCAAGGGCACCAAGAATCTCATGGATTTAGGCAGTGTGCCCCAGAGCTGTCCAAGGAATGTGCAAAATCATACTGTTTGTGATGGACCCAGGTGACCTGCTCTCAGCCTGAGCCTCAGTTTCCTTGTCTGTCTTGCATGTGTCAGGCACCAGTAATTCCTTGGGCATATTTATCTTGCTGTCATGCCTAAGGTGTGACTCACTGAATCAGGACAAAGGCCCTGTTTGTTAGACTTAATTCAAAATGGTTGCTGTCTCAAGTAGCTATCAATCTAATGTGACAGCAAAAAAGCAGGACAGGGTTCAGGGTGTATTAGAGACTTGAGGTGATCAAAAGAGTGATGAAAACATGTCAGTTAGTTACACCTGGAGAAAACAAAGTGTTTTATCTACACAGTGTATTGTGTGGGTATGAGTTTACACTGCTCTCACCCAGTGGAAGCTGAGCCACATGGGTGCAGGTTTACCAGAGATGCACTAAGAGGCGGTTGGCTCCACGTATCAGCATAAGCTCACATGTCTCTGCAGCAGCATTCAACAGGGTTTTATCTGCACACGTGGGCACAAATATTTCATCTGACTTCATTGCAGAGAAGGCCCAAGGAGAAAAGCAGAAAACAAAGAATAATGAGGGGTGAAGGCTGAGACTCTTAAAAGAAGAAAGGCCCACAGGGGGTGGCTAGAGGACAAGCTAGGAAGCAGACAGAGCACAGTTGGTTGTGAAAAAGTAATGAGAGAATGAGGCCCGAGACTAAGGCGAAAAAGGGGAATGAAAATTACGCAAAGAGATCAAAGTGCGAAAAACTGCCTGCTGCTGTATCCCTGTAATTCAAGGTTTGAGAAAGAAAGTATTTATATCCAATTACCTCTTTCTCTTTGAAGACTTATTCTAGGAGGATATGGATTAATTTATGAGATTAAACTAGTAAAGATAGGGCTGCGAGCTTTAATGGTGCCATTTAATATGATCCTTTCTCTTCCCGCTAGCTTACTGTGGTGCCTGTGAGACTGTTCTTCACCTCTCCACTGAATCCCAGGCCTTCAAAGGCTGGAGCTAAGAGAGCAGCAACGCCCCTCTGGTATTTGCAGCACAACTGCAATGGTTACTTAAAAGAAGTTTTGACAACCCATTTTGCTTGTGGCATAACATTCCCCATCACTGATGGGTTTCCAGACTTTATTTGACTGAGTAATAGCATTTACAATTTATCCCAAACTCCCTTTGACAAGTTGCTGTACAGTTTATCAGTTTCAAGCTATATTTTTAGTAGTTTTTCTTGGCTGTTTCAGATATTAATATCATATTTCTCTCAGGTTCATAAATAAAAATTACTAAGTACCTTTTACACTCCCTTCCATCAGTGAAAAAAATTACTGGATTTGTGAGTTACAAGACTGCACATTTTTCCCCCCAAACCCAGCAAGCGCATCTCAGACATCCCACTTCTTCACAACACTAGAGGGCAGAAGAGTTTTTATGTCATCTTGTGTATTTGACGACTTCAGGTTTCGTTTTTGTTTTAAGTTAGGAATTGAAAGCATGGACCACTGCATGTCTGCACATGTATGAGAAATCACGGTATCAAATCTAGCCCTTATGCTATGAATCATTTCCTTTATCTGCTTCTGCTTTTTGACTGAAAGGCTCAGAGTGCAGGAGGCCAGGTGGGGGGCACTCTTCTGACATCTGACCATGGTCATTATCCAGGAGCTCAAAAGGATGGCACTTGAAATATAGTAAGGATCAATCACTTTACAGAAGGGGTAAAGGTGACACTACACTTACTGCCAGGGAAAGTTCTGCTCTCTTTTCCAAAGATCAGTGTAAGAGTTGTTGTGGCTAAAAGAGTGCTTACTTAAAGGCTGATTTAGTTTCCATGTTACTGAAATAAAGACAAGGTTAAAATAAAATAAGGATGTCAAGTCTCCAGTAAAAGAGGGAAAGGGAGAACAAGATACCAACTTTTGATTGTCTTTTACCTATGCTTATACTACATGCTTTGTTTTAGTCGAAGTTAACAAAAAAAAAAAAAACAAACCCAAAAGGATTAGTGAGTTTGTCTAATTAGCATTCACTTTGGTCTCTGGAAAGATAGATATGTAAGAGTGTAGCTTTGGGTAATGGGCATCAGGGGTAAGGAAGAGCAAGGATATGGTAAACTTCTTGTGGTGTGGGTGAACAGGTCCTTGCTTTTCAAGCCTACAGCAGAAGAGGAGGCAGATGAGCTGTTTCCTGAGATTCCACCTGCCCTACCAGTTCCAACACTAAAATTAAAATCCACATCTAGTGCCCCTTATTTTCTTGACACTTTTTTGGAGGCAGGAAAATTAATCCAAAAACTCACTACCAGCTTTCACCTTGTCTTTTTAGCCAGTTTGCAGGATATTGCATGTCATTTCTCTGTTTAGACAAAAACTCTGATTCAGTAAAGTCTCTAAAACCCGCTACAGCCTGTCAAATTAATATTCCAGTCAGTTTTTGAGTTGCCACAGTAGCCATAAGTCTGGAGCAAATTAACCTAATTACCTGGGTAGCAATTAATGTGAAGATTTGAAGCTGTATCAGTGGTGTGCAGACTTTTTGTACTTTATACCAATAAACAAAGTGCTTCAAAATGCACAACCAGAAAAAAATGATAAAGAATTTAACTTTACAGGTTCCCTAATAATGACTCTTACTGTTATATGACTTAAGCCTATCTCTGAGGTAGGTTTGTTTTATAAGTAAAAATACAGAAGTCACCAGAGGGGGAAGGGAGAACATCTTATCCAGGTTAGAGCTCTTCAAAAAAGAGAAATAAATAATCTTTTACCTTTATAGATCACATTAATCTTGATGAGACTTTTTTTTTGTTTACTTTCTCCGCAGAAAATGGGAATGTATTGACTCATTACACAGACTGAACAGATACTAACAAGAGTAGGAAAGTTATATCTCAATAAGAGAATGTTTCTGTATTGAAATAAAAAATAATAAACAACCTCCTATGATTTTTCAAACAGATAGACATCAAATACCATAGTAGTTTGAAGATGAATACTTATGTAACAACACATATAAATAGATGGATATAGAAAAATTTTAGTCAGAGAAACATGTGATACAGTCATAGAAAATCTGCAAAGACAGTTTACAGTTTGAATGATCAGCAACACAGGGAACACCATGTCTGCAATCTCAAATTATGACTCCTGTGTGTAACTACTCATCTACCTAGCACCACTGAAGGACACCTTTTCAATGCTTTCAGGGTATAGACCATAGAAAGCTGTGTTCTACTTTCTTTCAGCTTTGTATAAAATAGTTTATTTCTAAAACTGAAAAAACACATGAGAACTGCAGTTCACCAATAATGTTTTTTGCAGAGCTGTGCCCTTCAGTTTTTCTTCAAGCCCACTTCAGCCATCTACCACTGGGGAGCTTTCCAAATGAAGTGTGAAATAGTTTAAAGAGTTACAAAAGTAATGTCTGTTATAAACTATTTCCAGTTCCACTGTGTTTTATACTGCGGGTGCATCAGTACATGAATGCCACAAAGCTGAAAGCTAAATATTTCGCTCTGCTGGGCAATGCATTCTGTGTAAGAGACAGAAACCAAGGAGGGTGTAGTTGGAGAGCAACACAAATAACTAAAGCTTGGGAAAAAGACCTGGGCGGGTTCAGTCTGGAGGAAAGACTCAAGGGAAGATACAGGTGAAATACTGCATTAAATAATATGACTGAATTTAAAAGACAAAAGGGACAAAACTGCCAAAGACAATTGGCAAATCTCCTTCAAAGATATGCTAAGCTGAATTTTGCATTCAATTATCAGGAATTGTTTTGAGAGCAGTCAAGTCCAGGCCATCACAATGTATTGTTTTCACCAAGGCTCCCATGCCTGATGCAGCAGCCGTGTGCTGCTAAGCACCATGGAAGCTGCCAAATCAGAGGGCTACAAGATGCCAAATCCCAGTGAGCAGACAATTGTCCCCTAGGTATCCCTGTTTTGCAATGTACACACAGCCAGATGCTAACGATAACCGACAGCCACAGTTCTAGACCTCAGTCGAGCAATATGCTCTGTGCCCCAGCAGTGCCATAAGTAGAGCTCTCGGAGGGTGTACAAACCTTGCATGCAGGCCTGGGGCTCTGGTTTTCCATCTTCATCAGCAGCATCATCTTACCAGTTTGCAGCTCAGAGATAAAAGTGAATTACTAGGGCTTAACAATATACACTGTCTGATTCATTCTAGCTGCATGTGTACTCTTAACACGAGAGGCGGAAAATAAACTGCATTAGCAGAAAATGTTTATCATCAAACGCCTACGTTCATGGATTTTGTCCTGTGTTTGCCACAGGCTAGGAGTGCACTTAATTACCACAGTTCAGCTGATATCTGCAAGCTTATTAATCCAGGGTAACTCACTTCTGTATCTGTCCCTCCAGTTAGCTAAAGCTTTCATTAAAACAGCCAACTTTCTTGCCATAGTGAGGCCTCAGGATAAAACAAAGAGTTAAATTCTGCAAAAAGTGAACTTGCACGGAGAAAGAGCAGGAAGGAAAGCAGAAGCAGAGAGAGGCCCAGGAGAAGATAAGTCAGAAACAAGCAGGAAGGCAACAGACCTGGAGTTTTGCCACTGGCACCCAAATCTCAATTCTCCAGTACCCACAAGCTTGTCAAGAAAATCCTGAAGTTAAAATTTAGTCCAAAGAATAAAACTGAAACTCAGAATTGAATTTCCAAGAGTTAAGACATGGCTCAGATTCAGCAGCACAGCACAGCAGAAAGAGCAGCAGGTGCTTCAGCCAGCATCCCATTTTGGACGATTGCAACCACCTTCTAAAGCTCCCAGGAAATTGTCACAGTGATGGATCAAATCAAGGAGCCAAGGGGTAGCTCTCAGCCCAAACTCAGCTCACAGCACAGCTTTTTCTTCTCCCTGAAAATTCTAACATGCCATTAGTCAGCATACGCTTGTGGGCAGACTACACCGACGGGAGACAGTTCGCTGTAGCAGTGTGGTAGACTAACATCAGACCCAACAAAGTCTGTGAAGTCAGATACGGCCATGTTTATGCTGCCCCCAGGTCCCAAAGCAGCTCAGTTACTTCAGCGCAGGGCAGTGCCAGGATGCAGCGAGCGTGCCAGAGCCAGCTGGAGCACCTGGTAATCAGTAGCCGTGAGGAGCACAGAGCATCCATACACAGGCAGGCCAGGCACTGGGCTTGGCAACACCAGCCCTGAGCCAAGTACCCCCCACAGAGGTGTCCGTGTGTTGCAAGTCAGGCTTGCCAGCATGCCTGGAGAGCTGAGCAAGTCAGACACTGTATCATATGAAGATTAAGACTTAAACTAGTGGCATGTTCATCTCTGCTTTCCCCACTTCCTTTTCGACAATGTATTTCTTCCTCCCCTGCCTCTGTACCACAGTATTTGTGTCCTTTTATTGCCCCTGTCCAAACACAGGATCCTCCCATATGTTCCTTATCATCTCACCACAGCTCCTCATCAAGTTATGCATCAAGAGAACATGTCAGGGCTTGTGAAAATCAAGCTCTTCTGAGAAAGCCTTCTAATATAGGAGTTAGAAGGACTTCCTCCTCCCTCTTCAAGCATTATGAGGAACACAGCAACCCCCACAATCCAGACTAACATAGATCTTACAACATAGTTATCCTCTTACATAAACTGCCACCAAACACTTGGCTGGAGACAAGGCTGGCTACTGACCACAGTAAAGCTGTGCACCCCTGAATCGCCCCACTGGGCTGTACATCAGCCTGAAAGACAGAGAGTTGGGAGATTCCTCCTGTGCAGCAAATGCAGAGCTAAACTCTAAACAGACAGTCCATAATCCAAATTACCGTTCTAGCACTCCCACTAGCGGCAGGGCAGTGGGCAAAACAAGCATTTTGCTAAGCATCTGCCTCCACTCTTTGTAGACTGGTGTTTTTAAAAAGAAACTTCAGGTTGTGAAAGAAAATAAAATTTTCTTTCAGAAGAGCTGTTAAGTATACTCTATCAGGAAAAGATTGATAAGACTTACAACACTGTAGATATATATATAGATATATATATAAATATATTTTAAAAATTCAGGATGAAGATTGGAAAAGGAAGGAAAGAAAGTCCTGATGGATTTGGCTCTGACTGTCAAAGAATGCAATGTCATAAGTCAAGCATTCTAGTAACTCTGCTCTCCTTCCACACAAAATGATGAGGGACTGTTACAAGCTGTGCAACAATATATCTTCATATTTTAGTATTTTGAATTTGACTTTTTAAATGGATTTTACCAGAACCAGTATTACTCTTGCCAGCGTTAAAGATGCCAAGGACAGGCTGCTGAATGGGGGCAGCATTCTCTTTTAGGCACCTGATTTCCCCACTTCCCTCCACCTTTTCTTCTGTACAGACTTTTGTTTCTGAATAGACATGAACAGGGGCAATTCACTTTCTACAAGTTAATTTCATGGCATTTAGCAGACAAGGTGAAGTAACTTAAATGTGAGCTTATTATTATAGACAGTTTCTAACACTTGTCATCCTGGTGATTTTTTCTCCATGGCCTGAAACCACATCCTATATATAACTGGAGGAGGACGTGCAAAGTTTGATTTCAGTTTTGCATATGAACAAGTATTTTTCTTAACTTAATTAGGACCATTTTATTATCACTTCTGAGCCTCAACATATCACATAAGTGCTTTTCCAAAGCAAGAGAAAAATTACCCTCTAATACCAGTTGCCCACCTAGTACTTTTTAATACTCAAGTTTGAATACTGACTGGTGGATGAGACTACAACATGTCACGTCCCACACATATTTCATGTCTCCAGTCTACATGAAATCACCTGATCCGACCCCAAGATGCTGCTAAGGTATTCTCCCACTCCCAGTCGCTCTGAAGCACAGCCTGAGACTGAGAGTTTGCATGGATACAACTCACACACAGGCTTCAAAAGAGACTGCAACTCTTGCTTTGCTGGCAGCAAAACCACACCTTGGCTGTTTCCAAAAACTAGCAAACAGCACACAAATTGGAATAGAGCCACTCCTTGGCACAAAGGTATCCTACTTGGGCCCCCCATGTTCCCTCTGCTACGCATATTCCAGAAAGCCTTCTAGGTTAAGGCTAGTCTGTGCATTTTTTCTTCTACTGACACCCTGTGACCAGCTCTGCAAATGTTCTGTTTAACCCTTGGTTATCCCAGAGCCTGAAAACCCGAACTATTTTGAGGGTGTCCTAGTATTTCATTTTAAAGGTCACGTTCAAAAAGATTGATGGCTAAAAGGCCAAGTCAGCTTTATCATTGCTAAAATTATATTTAAAATCTAAGATCATTCTTGAAACATAACTTGAAATAACAGAACAAAGATATAACAATGCATTGTTATATTGTAACAAAATTGTAACATTTTTGTTTTAAGAATAAAGATCTCCCCTTTTCTGATTCAGCATTTCAGAGACCTTCTACCGCTTTAATCTGGGTTAGTTAAAGAAATCACAGTTTAAGCAGCTTCATATCCTTCAAACTGACTGCTAGCATGCCCTGCCTTGAGGGAAAGGAGCACTTCTTTTTTTTGAGCATTTGTTTCATACACATATTAACAAGGTTTCCATTTGAACCTGCCTTTCCCTCCCTCCTCCACACTAACTACATACTAAGGCAGACTTTTAATTTGTACACTCCATGTTTAGGAATGAATTCTTTGTTACAGTTTTATGAAGACATGGAGAGAATCTTCTGTATCACACAGCAAAAACATTAAGTGCACAGTCTTTGCAGTAGATGCACAACAGCTTTCTCTCTGCAAGCATCTTATAAAGATGAAACGGGAAAACAGGGGTTTAAATTATTCTTCCCCCAAAGCTTACTTAGTTTTAGGGGATATTTAGGGGCTTTGCTCTAGCCTTAAATTCTGCAGGGAGCTCAGGCTAACCAACTGATTAAGTATTTACCTAACCTGTACCAAGGGGGTTGTAACCCTGATCAAATCTGGGCAAAGACAGTTGCACCCATGGCAAAGCTCCCACTACTCATGCCTTCACTCCGACTACTCAACATCCCCCCCCCCAAAAAAAAAAACCCAAACAAAACAAACCAACAAAACCACAAAAACCAAACAAACAAACAAAAAACCCCAAACAAAAAACAACCCCAAACCGAAAAATCATACAGCACAAATACATAAGCTAACTAGAGTTGCTCTCACTCTACTGTTGATATATGCCAGTGTGAGGGAAGGCAAGACAGTGGGTCTTTCATGTTTGGAAGTGGCAGAAAATAAGCATAGACTGCAACTCAGGAATGGTTGTTTGCTCTCCTGAAAGTCAGTCATTAAAATGCTGATGGATTTCAAAGCTACCCAGCTCTTAATAGTCCCTGTATCATTATTACCTAGGAGGCAAACATTCATGGGTTACAATGGAAAGCTACTGGCTGCTGCTTGCCATCAGCAGCCTGCCACCTCTGTCATTTCACCACTGTGAAACACTGTGTGGCTCCACCTTCCTCATCCAGAAAGAAGGGAAAGGAAACGGAAAGGTTTCAGCTTCCATCAGCTAAGCTTTGAATGACACGGAAAAAAAAGCAAGCTAAGCAAACTCAGCACATTATAATAGTAATAGCATTACATGCACTGTTACTAACAGCTCAGAAAAAGCACATTTGGGTAAAAGACTATCAACAATTAGCTTTGGTCAGCTAATAAGTGTATATACGTGTACATACGTGTATCAAGCACATGCAGGAAATACACACACACTACTGTCAGTTTTTATTCCATATTACATCTGCAGGTTAGTGTTTATACAAGCTATCTAAAAATTGTCACTGGAAAACCAGAGATGGACAGAGCATATATCCCAATAAAGCTTAAAATGAAATAGAGCTTTGGCTTTACTTTTATCAGCATGAAGTTATTGGAAGTCGTTCTCTGTCCTGGACTGCATTCAGATCAGTGCTGGAACACAGCCTCCATCCATCTCTTAGCCAAAGGAAGTATATTTAGACTTCCTAGGATGAAATATTAGGAAACAGAAAATAGGGAGCTAGAACTAGATTTGAAATTTCACTTTGAAAAAAGATGCCAAGAAACAGACATCACGTACACCAATATCAAACATACAGAACTGGCCACTGCAATTGCCTGGCGTGTGAGCCATGCTATCAGGAAACCTGCAGAACAGCTTGGGTCCCATGTAGGAAGCATTATTCATAGGTGGGCTTTAGGCTGACCACAAGTGGCTGCGAGAGGATAAGGATATGCTGCTTGTGTGCCCAGTCCCATTCACAGGCTCTCTATAAAGTATTTCCACCTTTGAAGGTGCATACCTCGAGTAAGGTGGAGAACAGGCACCTGATACACATAACACAATCTCAGGCTCCCTATTACTTACTACTGCTCTTGATGTGGGACCAATGCTTGGCGACTTTGCTCCTCTTCAAATGTTGTCCGCTTCTGGGCATTTTCAGCCTTCTCTGTCTGTTGTTTGTTGTTGCTATCCCAGAGGTAACCATGAGAGGAAACCGGGGTACTGGAGGCAGCAGCCGTCCTGTACCTTTTGCTTTCCCTCCATCCTCTAAACCCAGACATTGCTTCAGGAGTACCTTGCCTTATCAGAAAGGAGTATTGCCACTAAGTATAGGGAAAGATTCAGAACTCTGTGTTCTCCCCAGTTGGTTTCAATTCCTTGTAAGACCCGCCCCTGCCTGGACACTGACCTCTATGACATGCAAATAGATGCACTGGCTTCTGAGTCAACTGGAGTCATGGGATGACAGCAAAGCTGTTCTATACTAATAAAACAGCAACAGTTTGTGAGTCTTGGAATAGACTGCTTCAGCATAAGCACGGTGAGGTCTGGCTGAAAGCTGTTTTTTACCCCAGCGCTTTAAATTTGCCTATGACAGAGAGAAATAACCCTAGGGGGGTTGCTGGTTTCAATTTTGTAGAAGTGTACAAAGAAAGATGAAAGTGAAACTAAAAACTAACCCTCAGATAAACCCTAAGGCCATGGTCCTGCACAACTCCAGCTCTGCCTTTCAATTCTGCCCAATCAGATTATTTTTTTTTACTTTGACTTTCCTAATTCTACCTGATGAATAAAGGACAAATCCTCTTGTGAAAATGCAGATCCCTTCAGTGAACACATCTGACCAGTGATACTGTATCTATGGGATCTGTGGGGCTGGGGAAAGTCAGCAACCTTTTTAATATCACTAGTAAAATAAAGATGTTTGGCAGCTCCTAACCCAAGAAAAAAAGAACTAGTTATGCTATTCAAGCTTTATGCAGCAGAGCTAAGGAAATCCAACTCCAAACATGTAGATCCTGTCACTTTTTGGCCAGGTTTCCTGATGGTTCAGACTGTCTAGGTTTCATAGCACACCCCACACATGCTGGGAAAGTAGCAAAGTAAAATGCACATGGAGAAGCACAGGCTGCCTGGTGTTTGTGATGCTCCTTTGGGTGTTGTATGGAACCCCATCACTACAGCACACTTCCCAGAGCTGCCGCATCCAGCAGGAAGTATCTCCTAGGGCTGCCCAATGATGGCAGCATCAATGGTCTCTCCCTTCCACCATCCCTCCTAATGTGTCATCACATTCCACTCAGATGGAGACTGAGTGATTTAGATTCATAAATCCCCAACAGCGCAAACAACAGTGAGACAAGTCTCAAAGTCCATGCACAGAAATTTGTTAATTTCCCAAAATGTACTAACTGGATATATAATTGGCAGGCAATATAGTATGCCTTGTGTTCCTTAATAGTAGTGAGGGAAAAGGGGAAAAAGAAAAGGAGAGAGAGAGAGAGAAGAGAAACAGATCACTGGTCTGGGTTCCTGCATTGGTCCCGTCTGAGTTCATCAAGGATGCATCCATCTTCTTCATGATTTATTTGTAATTTCTGTATTTCACTCCTCACTACCCATCAATTTATACAGTTTCCTTGGGTCCATCCCCTAGGTTGACCGACATACCTGTGTATCCCATGTATGGGGAGGGGTAAAGTGCTTCATGGGATGATGTAATATAATAGCACGATTGTCCTGGTTTTGGCCAGGACAGAGTTAACTTTTCTTCAGCTGAGAGGGAGCACAGCCAAAGGGCCAGTCCTGATCGATCACTGGAGCATTCTGTGTCCTGTGACATCATGCTCAGCATATAGGCGGGCATGTGCTCTCTCACCCACGTTCTTTGTGTTCGGTTTCCAGACGGGTGGGCGGGATTCCCTGGTGCAGTTGGATCACTGCTGGGAATGGGCTCTGTACCCGTTGCTGCTTGGTGAGCCACTGCTACATTTTATCCATTTTGGACTACTATTGTTACTGTTGGTTTTGTTAGTATTAATAAATTATTTTTATTCAACCTACAAATTTCTTCTTTTGTCCCTCCCCTATTTCACTGGGCGGGGGGGGAGGGAGAAAACAACTGGCCACGTGGTGATTTGTACCGGCTGAGTTCAAACCACAATAATGATCTTCTTAATCTTCATTAGCATATTCAGGGGTGTCAACTTTAATATGCATTTTGTGGATAATAAAGCAAAGGTCATTCACCAGACAGATAGCCCTTGAAATTTTACAAGATGCACCAAAGCAGAACCGTCCTGTCTCCACAGGGCTCCCTCCTCCAGCCAATCCTGTGCTGTCCAGGCAGCCTTATCAGCTCAAAATTCCACACTGTCCACACCGTGACTGTAGTTTTGTTACTTGAAAGTGTTTGAGAGATTTATTGGCTCAGAGGGACCCACTCCCCCACTACCCCTTATCTCTTTCTCAGGCTGTTTTTCTCAGTCCTTGTTTCTTGCAGGTGTGTTTCTCAAAGGCCCTGTTTCAGGGAGTTACAAGTCATCTCTCACACATGCTCTGCAGCAGGAATGATTTTCTTTGTACATGAAACATTCCACAGAGAGTCTGGAGCGCAATGGCAGTGTGTTGCAAAGGGATGAACTGATGCACAGTCCTTTGTACCACTCCCAGAACTGTTTTGCTTCTTGGCCATGATGGATCTATGCGGGAGAGCTGAGCACGCACACGACCAACGTGATCAAGCAATGCCCGTTTATTACAATTAAGAAAAACCTTTTATAATGTTCTCCCGCACACGTGCAGTACAAGTCCTCAAGACTGGACAGTTAACTTAGCCCGCGCTTTAAACCTTCTTATGATCGGATAAAAAGTGCCACATCAGCCTTGCCAGGCTTCCTGCCTTGTGGAACTTCCCCTTCCGTCCCAACCCCTTCTGGGGGTTGTTTGTCTCATTGAGTTTCTCCCCCCTCATTCAGCCAAACCCTGATCTCTCTAATCCCAATCTCTTTTAGTTGCCTGTGCCATTAATCAGATTGTTTGCTCAGACAGCCCATCTTGGTTTGGAAACTGCCCAGGAAGCCAGAGCAGAACATAAACTGTAACAGCCTTCTTTGCCTCATGTTGTTTAAAGCCATATTCTGTGGGCAAGGGAGGACACCTAGTCTGTAAGATATTGCTGGGTCATAGCTCCGTGTTGATATTGCCAACAGCCAACATGGGCAGGTTTCTTGTTTAAGGGTGTTCCATATTGGTCTGGGCAAGAGTGTGTCCTCTGCCGATGGCTTCAGGAACTGCTAAAAGACCAAAGGACATTATAGGCTTGGACTAGGTGTGTGGATTTATTCTTTACCTCTGGTCTCTGTGGGGAACACAAACATTTTGTCCTGGATAGTGGTTGGGCTCTTACCAGAAATCAAATGCATGGCACTTGACAATCTCAGTCATCCCTTAAGTTGTCCAAGAAGGTGTTTAGGTAGGTCAGAAGGTTCAAAGCTTGCTGTCCTCCTTCATGTGAGCTGCCAGGCACAGCTAAAGGCAGGCTCTGGGGAAGATCTCTTAACCAGGTTCCCCCTCCTCTTCACAGATATATCTATCTATCTATCTATCTATATATATATATAGAGAGAGAGAGAGATAGAGATAGAGATAGATAGATAGATAGATAGATAGATAGATAGATAGATAGATAGATAGATAGATAGATATTATGCACAAGGTGCTGGCAATTGAAAGCAAGCATCAAGCTTAGTCCTTTGTATAGGACTGCGGGGTAAATACAGGAGGTGCAGAGAGACCAGGTGCAATGCAAAATGATAACAAAGTCATGTCTGAGGACTTCAAAGATTTGTGGGATAACAGCTGTGCCTACAGGCACCCTATTTTGGTAAAAATCCATCTTCAACATCTGGATTCTTCTTATCCCATGCAGATTGATGTCTTAATAACCCAAATTTAATTACAAAAATTGATTATAATTAATGTGGCCACTGCTGCTGTATCTTCAATCCCACATTGTTATATAAAATTCAGATCTAATATCTGTTTCCAGTTGAAAATTAGGAAGTTTTGGCTGCAAAGAGTAACTGTGGAATTGAAATAGTTTACATCTATATTGCTCAAAAGACGGATGTAAAATGAACTCAAGCACTAGAAGCTCAATTGCTTACATCACTTCAATGCTCTTGTATTTCTTAGCTCTGTTGTGGACAATCCAAACTAACTCTCTCCAGGACAACATCCCAGCCTGACTCTGGGGATGGTTCATGCCAGACACGACCCTCAGAAAGTCAGTATGAATATGACTGCACCAGATTTAACTTCCTTCACCCTAAACATCCCTCCAACACTGTCCCAGAAATCTCTGCATCTCAAAAGCATCCAATGTACCTCTGTGTCATACTCCACAGTATGTCATTCATCAGCCTTTCAGTTTCATGCTACTAAAGCACAACTTTTGATGGGCTGCAACCCATTCCTCATATTGCTTCAGACACATTGGGCTGAAATATCCCTCCAAACAATTATTATGTTTTAGCCACAGCAGTACCACCTAGGGCTCCCAGAACACTTGGAGCTTAAGGGCTATGTTGTAAGGCCATGCATATTGCCTCCGCTAGGCTCCTCCAAGCCACTTAGGTTCTTCCTAGCCTAGTGGAGTCTAGTCCTAGGCAGCATAGATATAAGCAAGTCTGTGCTAGCTGGATTTAGGACAAAGGATCAGTCTCTGGCTCTATTTTATTTAGTGTTGTAGATGCTAAACAGATGCTAAAGTGTCTGTTCTTCTTAAGTATCAGAATGTCAGTGTATTCAACCCCCTGAAACATGCAAATCCCACTGAATCTCAGCCCTTCCCAAATCGTTCATAGAAATTTTAATTCAGTACTTATATTTTTCTAGACCCACCAAATATTTGCTATCTATTCTATCTGATGGTTTATGTTTATAGTTGTCTTACATCCCCAACTGGGTCTGATGCTGTGGTGCACTGGCCCTTGCTATCAGGGAAGCACCCACACAGCTGGTGGCTCCCTCTCGCCCCACTAGTGGGACAGGAGATAAAATAGGAAAAGAAGTGAGAAAATTCATCTGTAAAATAAAACTTTGTAAAGCTCTGTTGCCTCCAACTATTAACAGCCTTTTTTTTTTTTTCTTTTTTTCTTTTTTTTTTCAGGGAGATGATAGAAAGATAGAAAATGATCTTTCATTTGCTTTGAGAAAATCCTTCCATGGACATGCGAAATATTAAGAATCACCATATTTCCTTCCTCACCTGTGTTTTTCATGAAATTACAATAATAAAACAAAACAACTTCTGTAGAGGAACATTCTATATTGAACCTTTGTTT